GGGTCTCAACTATACTGTGACTCTGGCCCTCCTACTCATCTCATTGTGGTTCCTACTACTTTAGCTGTAGGAGATCTTTTCTGCTAGACTCTGGTCTTTCTCATCAACAGTTGCTCTCATCAAATAGTTGCGATATTGGTGGTGCCGTTGAGAGACGTGAGCTCAGAGTCTTCCTGCTCGGCAGTTTTGACCAATAAAGAAACTAGTAAGAAATATTTTTATCTTTGACAATCTGACAGGTTAGAAACCTATAACTAATAATTTTTTTTTTACTAAAAATACATGCACATGGCAAAAAACAACACAAGCAATATAAAAGGATATACAATCGAAGTTATAACCCCTGTTCCCTTGGTTCCCTTTCCAGAGATGCCCACTGTCATTTTCTTGTTTATTCCTCCAAATATCTTTTATGCAAATCACGTATATACAAGTATATACATGGGTGTATGTGTATGTGTGCACATGCATTTGAATATTTGTCTGTCTGATTTACTGATGAAAACATCTGAACATACTTATTTGCTCATGTGGGTTAGTATATTTTAGGAAAAATTCCTAGAGGTATGATTGTTGTATCAATGTATTATAGTGATTGATACTATTCCCAGCCCAGTATCCATGCCATGTTGTCACCATTGTTCAGCAGTCATAAAGTTTGAAGGGAGTGGAACTGATCTCACTCCCAGCTTCAAGAGTGGGTGCACCACCGTGTAACACGATCAAAGTAAGTCCATCCCCCATGCCTTGGTTATTGGTTCAGGCAAGCCAGGCCTTCACCTATCAATGCACTCCACTGTCCTGTCAAAGGGAAAGTTCAGGAGTGGTCCAGGGATACCAAGTCAATGAAATGTTAGAAGATATTTGTTGACATATTGGGAGGAAGAAGGTTGATTTTCTTTTTTTTTCCTTTGCTCTTATGAGAGAGAATAAAAGCCAGCTTTGTCTCTTCTTTTGCACAGTATGGTGTAGCTGATGTGAAGAGTTCAAGTGCTGCAGCCCTTTTGCTACCAAGAACAGAGTCAAATTTACAATGGAGCTCACACTTGGGACGACTGAACTGACAGATGGTAGGAAATTAGGCCCTTGGTGATATTGTTGATCCACAGAAGCAAACCAATTTCCAAGCCCACTCATCCCCTGGAATTTGCGTTATTGGGACCGATAGATCCTCTTTATTGTTTAAGACTATTGGAGTTGAGTTTTCTGTTACTTACAAATAAAAAAGCATATAAACTTTATTTTTTTCCTTTTTTTAAAGGTTTTAATTAGAATATAGTTGATTTACAATGCTATGTTAGTTTCAGGTGTACAGCAAGATGATTCAGTTATACATATACATGTATTTAAAAATGTGGAACACTTCATGAATTTGTGTATCATCCTTGTGCAGGGGCTGTGCTAACCTCTATATTGTTCCAATTGTAGTAATGTGCTATAGTAATGTAGTAAAGTGTGCCAAAGTGAGCACACTTTAAAAATTTTTTGATAGGTTGCCTTACAAAAGATATACCAATTTACAATCCAGCAACAAAATATGAGTGTTTCTCTACAGCATTGTCAAAATAATATATTATCAAACTATCTGATACTGCCATTTTTTAGGAAAAGAGTGGTATCTTAACAGTCTTTTTATCATGAGTAAGGTTAAACTTTTGTTAGTTTGTTTATGTTTTGGCCACTCTGCTCAGCATGTGGGATCTTAGTTCCCTGACCAGGGATTGAACCTGTGTCCCCTGCATGGAAACATGGACTCCTAACCACTGGGCCACCAGAATTCCCTAAGCTTTCTAATATACTTAAAATTCACATATATTTCCTTTTTGTTTGCATGTGTGTGTGTATACTACTCATGTCCTTTGCCTAGTTTTCTATTTCTCTTTTCTTATTGCTTTGTAAAAGCTTTTTGTATCCTAAGTAAATCAGGTTCTTGTTATGTGTGTTGAAATGTACTTTCTGAATCTCTTCTTTGGCTTTTGATTTTCCTTTTCCATTAAAATTTTTTTTTTGGCTGCACTGGGGCTTCATTGTTGCTTGTGGGCTCTTTCTGTAGCAATGCACAGGCTTCTTATTGCAGTGGCTTCTTTTGTTATGAAGCACAGGCTCTAGGGCACTCAGGCATTAATAGTTGCAGCTCATGGGCTGTAGAATGAGGGCTCAGTAGTTGTGACACATGGGCTTAGTTGCCATGCAGCATGTGGAATTCTCCTGGACCAGGGATTGAACCCGATCCCCTGCATTGACAGGCAGATTTCCAACCACTGGACCACCAAGGATCTTTTTGCATTTTTAAAAAATTTTGTTTATTTATTTATTTTTGACTGTGTTGGGTCTTCCTTTCTGTGCAGTCCTTTCTCTAGTTACTGTGAGCAGTGGCTACTCTCTAGTTATGGAATTCTCTTGTTGTGGATCACAGGCTCTAGGGTATGCAGACTTCAGTAGCTGTGGCTTCTGGACTTGGGAGCACAGGCTCAGTAGTTGTGGTGCATGAACTCAGTTGTTTGTTCCATGGCATGTGGGATCTTCCTGGACCAGGGATCGACCCCATGTCTCCTGCGTTGACAGGTGGATTCTTTACCATTCAGCCACCAGGAAAGCCCTTCTTTTTGCATTTTTATGGCAAATATATATAACAAAATTTAGCATTTTAAGCATGCAATTCATTGGCATTAAGTATATTCACAATATTGTATAAACTTTACCACTATTTATTTCCAGAACTTTCTCATCCTAAAGAGAAACTCTGTTCCTATTAAATGATAATTCTCCATTGTCCCTTCCAGCAGACCTGGTAAACTGTTCTAATTTCTGTCTGTATGAATTTGCCTATTGTAGGTAACTTATATGAGTGTAATTGTACAATATTTGAATTTTTCTGTCTTATTTCATTTAGCATGTTTTCAAGATTCATATTTATTGTAACATATATCAGAATGTTATTCCTTTTTATGGCTGAATAATATTCCATTCCATGTATATACCAAATTTTATTTATTCATTCATCTGTTGATGGACACTTGAGTCATTTCTCAGTTCATTTCAGTGGCTCAATCATATCCGATGCTTTGCGACCCCATGGACTGCAGCATGCCAAGCTTCCCTGTGATCACCAACTCCTAGAGCTTACTCAAACTCACGTCCATTGAGTCGGTGATGCCATTGAAAGGTTGCCGCTGAACAATAAGATGCCAGGATTCTTGGCCTCCGGAGGAGACGAATTCAATCCGGGGCCAGAGACGAGGCTAGATCGCTCAGAGCTTTTGTGTAATAAAGTTTTATTAAAGTATAAAGGAGATAGAGAAAGCTTCTGACATAGGCATCAGAAGGGGGCAGAAAGAGTACCCCCTGCTGGTCTTTAGCTGTATGTTATATAGTCACTTGCAGTCTGTTAATGAAAAGAAAAGAATGTCTTAAAATTTAGAATGGCACCAGATAATTCATCCCAGGCCATAAAACAATTGACTTGAATCTTGTAGAAGGGCAGATTACCACACAAATAGTTTCATTTACATAGATTAGGCGAACAATATCTGAGTATAACATACTGGTTCGTCAAGTAGGTTGAGCCATTTGGTGGAACCAACTTGAAGGCAGAGTCTGGGGTACATTAACATAGCTTAAGACAAACATTTCCATAAGAAAAAATGTATTGGTTAACTCAGGTTTTGAGAATAGTTAGCTTCAGGTGAAACCAGGTGTCATGGCAACACAGCATTTTAAGTGAAACCTCCTTTTAAACTTGTATAGAGAAGGAAAAAAAACAAAATCTAGTTTGTTTCTTCCTGCCGCTTAAGAGAGATAAAAATGTCTGGCACTTGCAGCCTGTTTTTTCTGTTTGGAGACCCCTGGCCTTCCTGCCTGTTACCCTCTCACCATCCAACCATCTCATCCTCTGTCGTCCCCTTCTCCTCCCACCTTCAATCTTTCCCAGCGTCAGTGTCTTTTCAAATGAGTCAGTTCTTCACATTAGGTGGCCAAAGTGTTGGAGCTTCAGCTTCAACATCAGTCCTTCCAATGAATATTCAGGACTGATTTCTTTTAGGATTGACTGGTTTGATCTCCTTGCAGTCCAAGGGACTGTTCAAGAGTCTTCTCCAACACCACAGTTCAAAAGCATCAGTTCTTCAGCGTTCAGCTTTCTTTATAGCCCAACTTTCACATCCATTCATGACTACTGGAAAAGCCATACCATTGACAAAACAGACCTTTGTTAGCAAAGCAATGTCTCTGCTTTCTAAAATGCTGTCTAGGTTGGTCATAGCTTTTCTTCCAAAGAGCAAGTGTCTTTATTTCATGACTGCAGTCACCATCTGCAGTGATTTTGGAGCCCCCCAAAATAAAGTCTGTCACTGTTTCCATTGTTTCCGCATCTATTTGCCATGAAATGATGGGACTGGGTTCCATGATCTTAGCTTTTCGAATGTTGAATTTTAAGCCAACTTTTCACTCTCCTCTTTCACTTTCACCCAGAGGCTCTTTAGTTCTTCTTAGGTTTCTTCCATAACAATGGTGTCATCTGCCTGTCTGAGGTTACTGATGTTTCTCCAGGCAATCTTGATTCCAGCTTGTGCTTCATCCAGCCTGGCATTTCACATGATGGACTCTATATAAGGTAAATAAGCCGGGTGGCAATATACAGCGTTGACGTGCTCCTTTCCATATTTGGAACCAGTCCGTTGTTCCATGTCCAGCTCTAACTGTTGCTTCCTGACCTGCATATGCTGCACTCAATATGCTAGCAAATTTGGAAAACTCAGCAGTGGCCACAGGACTAGAAAAAGTCAGTTTTCATTCCAATCCCTAAGAAAGGCAATGACAAAGAATGCTCAAACTACCACACAATTGCACTCATCTCACATGCTAGTAATGCTCAAAATTCTCCAAGCCAGGCTTCAACAGAACGTGAACCATGAACTTCCAGATGTTCAAGCTGGTTTCAGAAAAGGCAGAGGAACCAGAGATCAAATTACCAACATCCGTTGGATTATCAAAAAAGCAAGATAGTTCCATAAAAATATCTACTTCTGGCTGCCACTGGAACCTGCGGTGACAGCAGCCATGGGGGCTCACCTGGCCCAGAGATACCTGGGCGATGCATCGGTGGAGCCCGATCCCCTGCGGATGCCCACCTTCCCGCCCGACTACGGCTTCCCCGAGCGCAAGGAACACGAGATGGTGGCCACTCAGCAGGAGATGAATGACGCCCAGCTGGTGCTCCAGCAACGAGACTACTGTGCCCACTACCTCATCCGGTTTCTCAAGTGCAAGCGCGACAACTTCCCCAACTTCCTGGCCTGCAAGCACGAGCAGCACGACTGGGACTACTGCGAGCACCTCGAGTGAGCCCCCAGCCCGCCCCACATCCCCACGCGGGGCCCTGGGCCCCCGACTCCAGAGGCAGAGGACTGTGAACTCACACTGAGTTTCCAGCCAGGCCCCCCCGCCTTTAGTAGAAAGAGGAAGCCGAGGGGGTGCCGGGTGGGCGGGCCTGGAGGAGTGGCCCAGCCGGGTTCCAGGTGGGAGGCCCAGTCCTTGCTCTTGGCTCAGTGGTGTTAAGGTAGCGGGCGGGCCCCAGACCTAATCCGCAGGCACACGGGTCTTCCCNGGATGTGAGAGTTGGACCATAAAGAGGGCTGAGCGCTGAAGAATTGATGCTTTTGAACTGTGGTGTCGGAAAAGACTCTTTAGAGTCCGTTGGACTGCAAGGAGATCAAACCAGTCAGTCCTAAAGGAAATTAGTCCAGAATATTGATTGGAAGGACTGATGCTGAAGCTGAAACGCCAATACTTTGGCCACCTGATGTGAAGAACTGACTCCTTAGAAAAGACCCTGATGCTGGGGAAGATTGAAGGCAGGAGGAGAAGGTGATGACAGAAGACAAGATGGTTGGATGGCATCACCGACTCGATGGAAATGAGTTTGAGCAAGCTCTGGGAGTTGGTGATGGAGAGTGAAGCGTGGCATGCCAAGTCGATAGCATCACAAAGAGTTGGACATGACTGAGCGAATGAACTGAACTGAACTGAGATACCACATGGGAGAAAGAAGAAATCAAAAAAGTAAGAACATATTTTAAACTGATGACATTCTGCCAAAGCAATAGTTAGGGGGTAAATTTTAAGCACTAAACACCTATATCAGAACAGAAGAAAATCTCAAAATAATAACTTCAGCTTTCAACTCAGTAAAAAGAAGGGCAAATAAAACTCAAAATTAACAAAAATAATGAAGATCAAAGTGTAAATCAGTGAGATAGAAAACAATAGAGAAAATCAACAAAACCATATTCTTGTATGCCAATGTTTATTGTTGTTCAGTTGCTCAGTTCAGTTCAGTCGCTCAGTCGTGTCCAACTCTTTGCGACCCCATGAATCGCAGCATGCCAGGCCTCCCTGTCCATCACCAACTCCCGGAGTTTACTCANAGTTGTGAATGACTCTGTGACCCCAGGGACTGCAGCACACCCTGTCCTTCACCATCTCCCTGAGTTTCTTCTAACTCATGTCCATTGAGTAGGACATACCTGTAGATTATTTGAAATGTAACCCAATGAAGATCCATACCACTGCCATGCTTAAATAATCTTGATCAACTATTCTGAGCATCTGTGGAAGTTATTATTAAAACCTGTTGTTCAGTTGCTCAGTCGTATCCAACTCTTTGCAACCCCATGGACTGCAGCACACCAGGCTTCCCTGTCCTTCACCATCTCCCAGAGCTTGCTCAAACTCATGTCCATTGAGTCGGTGGTGCCATCCAACCATCTCACGCTCTGTCTCCCCCTTCTCCTCCTGCCTTCCATATTTCCCAGCATCAGGGTCTTTTCCAATGAATTTGCTCCTTGCATCAGGTGGCCAAAGTACCAGAGCTTCAGCATCAGTCTTTCCAATGAATATTCAGGGTTGATTTCCTTTAGGATAGACTGGTTTGAACTCCTTGCATTCCAACGGACTCTCAAGAGTCTTCTCCAACACCACAGTTCAAAAGCATCAATTCTTTGGCGCTCAGCCTTGTTTATGGTCCAGCTTTCACATCCATACGTCACGACTGGAAAAGACATAGGTTTGACTAGACAGACCTTTGTCAGCAGAGTAATGTCTCTGTTTTTTAATATGCTGTCTAGGTTGGTTATAGCTTTTCTTCCAAGTCTTTTAATATTATTGCTTTTCTTCCCAGTTTTAATTTAATGGCTGCAGTCACCATCTGCAGTGATTTTGGAGCCCCCCCCAAAATAAAGTCTGTCACTGTTTCCATTGTTTCCCCATCTATTTGCCATGAAGAAATGGGACTGGATTCAATGATCTTCATTTTTTGAATGTTGAGTTTTAAGTCAACATTTTCACTCTCCTCTTTCACTTTTGTTCCAGAGGCTGTCATTTGTGTATCTAGGTTATTGATATTTCTCCCAACAGTCTTGTTTCCAGCTTGTGCTTCATCCAGCCTGGCATTTCGCACGATGTAATCTGCATATAAGGTAAATAAGCAGGGTGACACTATACAGCCTTGATGTACTCCTTTCCCAGTTTGGAACCAGTCCTTTGTTCCATGTCCTGTTCTAACTGTTGCTTCTTCACCAGCATAAAGGTTTTGCAGGAGGTAGGTCTGGTGTTCTGGTATTCCCATCTCTTGAAGAATTTTCCACAGTTGGTTGTGAGCCACACAATCAAAGACTTTAGCATAGACAGTGAAGCAGAGGTAGATATTTTTCTGGCATTTTCTAGCTTTTTCTAGGATCCAACTGATTTTGGCAATTTGATCTCTGGTTTCTCTGCCTTTTCTAAATCCACCATGTATATCTGGAAGTTCTCAGTTCACGTACTGTTGGAGCTCTGCTTGAACAATTTTGAGAATTACTTTCCTAGCAGGTGAAATGAGTGCAATTGTGTGGTAGTTTGAACATTCTTTGGTATTGCCCTTCTTTGGGATTGGAATGAAAACCGACCTTTTCCAGTCTTGTGCCATTGTTGAGTTTTCCAAATTTGCTGTCATATTGAGTGTAGCACTTTCACAGCATCATCTTTTAGGATTTGAAATAGCTCAACTGGCATTCCATCACCTCCACTAGCTTTGTTCTTAGTGATGCTTCCTAAGGCCCCCTATACTCCACACTCCAGGATGTCTGGTTCTAGGTCAGTGATCACACCATCATGGTTATCTGGATCATTAAGACCTTTTTTATATAGTTTTTCTCTGTATTCTTGGCACCTCTTCTTTATATCTTCTGCTTCTGTTAGGTCTATACCGTTTCTGGCCTTTATTGTGCCCATCTTTGAATGAAATGTTCCCTTGGTGTCTCTGATTTTCTTGAAGAGATCTCTAATCTTTCCCATTCTATTGTTTTCCCCTATTTTTTTGCATTGTTCACTTAGGAAGGCTTTCTTATCTCTCCTTGCTATTCTTTGGAACTCTGCATTCAGATGGATGTATCTTTCCTTTTCTCCTTTGCCTCTTGCTTCTCTTCTTTCCTCAGCTATTTGTAAGGCCTCCTCAGACAACCATTTTGCTCTTTTTATTTCTTTTTCTTGGGTATGGTTTTGATCACTGCCTCCTGTACAATGTTACGAACCTCCATCCATAGTTCTTCAAGCACTCTGTCTATCAGATCTAATCCCTTGAATCTATTTGTCACTTCCACTGTATACTTGTAAGGGATTTGATTTAGGTCATACTTGAATGGTCTAGTGGTTTTCCCTACTTTCTGCAATTCAAGTCTTAATCTAGCAATAAGGAGTTCATGATCTGAGCCACAGTCAGTTTCCAGTCTTGTTTCTGCTGACTGTATAGAGCTTCTTTATCTTCGGCTGCAAAGAATATAATCAATCTAATTTCAGTATTGATCATCTGGTGACATCCATGTGTATAGTCATCTCTTGTGTTGGAAGAAGGTGTTTACTAGACCACTGCATTCTCTTGACAAAACTCTGCTAACCTTTGCCGTGCTTCATTTTGTACTCCAAGACCAAACTTGCCTGTTACTCCAGGTATCTCTTGACGTCCTACTTATTCATTCCAGTCCCCTATGATGAAAAGGACATCTTTTTTGGTGTTAGTTCTAGAAGATCTTGTAGGTCTTAATAGAACTGTTCAGCTTCTTTTGGCATGCCAATGTTTATCGCAGCATTATTCACAATAGTCAAATTTGGAAATGACCCAAATGTCCATCAGTAGATAAATAGCAGCCAGAAAAGTTCAATCCATGGAGAGAGAAAGTAGATTATAGGATGACTTACAGGGGCTGTGGGAAGAGGGGAATGAGCAGCTATTGCTTAGTGGGTAAAGAGTTTCTGTTTGGGGTTGTTAGGTAGTTAGAATAGGAAAAAGGTGTCCAGAATGGCAGTGGCTAAAAGAAAAGGAAGGGCAAAGCCTGGGGAAATAGAACAAAGGAAAGTCCAAGGACTGGAGTGAGGACCTCAGGTAAAACAAACAGCACTCCTGGCTAGCCTAATTTACATAGGGCAGGCCCAGGGGGAGGAGAAAAAACATATAAAAAGAGGAGCCAAAACTGGGCCGAGGGCCTCTCTTCTCTTAGAGTCTTTTGGGTAGGCATGCCCTCATGCCTTGAGGATGTATTTTTCCTTTACTTTTTAAATAAAGCTGAGTTGTAACATGGAACTGTAACACTGGTCCATCCAAGGGCTGTATCGGTGGTCCGTCCATCAGTTCAGATTTTTGTTGCGATGAGACAGAATGGAGGAAATTACAAACTCCCTGACATCGTGACAAAAAAGTTTCAGAAATAGACAATCCTGATGGTTGCACACATTGTGGATGTAGCAAAAGCCACTGGATTATACACTTTAAAGTGGCAAATTTTGTGTTATATATATTTACTACAATTTTTTAAAATTAATAGTGTAGTATATCAAAAGCTATCTAATTGTACAATTTAAATTGAATGAGGAAACAGACAGAACAGGCTCCATCTTGAGAGCAGGACTCCATCTTGGGCCAGACTATGGACTTTGAGCTATATGCCGAGCATCTATGGAAACGACATACCAATCGAAAACCAGACCCCCTGGATGAAGGAGCCTCAGGACTTGTACCTAAATATTCTGTCACCTAAAATAATATACTAATTATCTCTAACAGAACAAATTCATAAATCCCATTATGCTTATCAGGGTTGACCACAGGCCTATTGATAAATGTCCACTGTTTAACTATCTAGGCTTATGACACATGAATCATGGGTTAACTTTGATCATATCTCTCTTTTATGACACATGAATCATGGGTTAACTTTGATCATATCTCTCTTTTACTCCAGACTAGTTTCAAGGAATTTGGGGAGGTGGGTTTGAGCACATACACTTAAGGTATATAAGGTTTTCACAAAAACTGGTTGGGGTCCTTGGCTAAGAGGATATTCTGCCTTGGGCCCCACGCTGTAATAAACTGCACTCCACTATCTGCATTGTCCTTCTGAGTGAGTTTGTTTCCCAGAATGCGTGGCTACAAAAAAATGAGTGAGCTGTATGGTATGTGAATTTTTTTTGGGGGGGGTAACATACAGAGAATTCTCTTTTATTTTCAAATGATTCTGACTACCTTTTCTCATGATTCTTTAACTAATAAAAATAATTGGGAAAAAATAAAAATAAAAAATAAATAAAGAAAAAAAGAAAACAATGGTATGTGAATTTATATCTCAATAAAGCTCTTACAAAAAAGAGTCCATAGTTTATGATTTCATTTATATAAAACTCTAGAAAATACAAACATATATGGTGACAGCTGCCTTAATTCACTACCACATTTTCTTTTGCTGCTTCCATTTTTCCTAACACTTTTTCAATTCCCTGATTGCCTCTTTCTGTTAATGTTTGTCTTGAGAAAACACGGGTCTGCGGAGGAGGAAGTGGTCTCATTTTGCCACAGGAAATGTGAAACTTGGGGACTTCTGAACAGCAGAACTGGTATTGGGTTCCACACCCCAATGATCCTTGACTACCCAAAAGTGTAGTTTAAAAGCCAGTGGCTCGCAGACCACGCGGCGGGAGCTAGAACTCCATTTCCCAGGAGGTCGTGGGGCACAGGGTGGAGACTGCGTCTGACGACACGGGTGGGACTCGGCCGCTGCCGGAATGAAGCCGGGAGCCCGCCTTGTTCGCTCAGCCATGAGAAACCTGGGAGGCTGTGTGAGCTGCGGTTGAACGGAGCTGGAGGACGACCGCTTTGCCAGGTAATCCTTATCGAGAACCACCCGCTAGGCGGGCCCCTTGTTCGCTATTTTCTCATTGAGTCTTCCCATCTCCAGGACGGTTGCCTTAGTATGTGATCCACTTCCTTGGATGGAAAGGATTTGAGAATGGGATGAATTATATATATTCGGGGGAGATTGAGCCTGCTTTTCCTATTGCGAAGCCGACGTTAGGCACTTATCTGTCCCAGGATCACGAGTCCAACCGAAGTTCCAGAACCAAGTACCCCTGGTAGAAAGGCTCCGAAGGAAGTGCCGAGCGGGCTTGTGGTGGCTATGGATGGGTCACTACAATTGCCTCTCTGGTTTAAGTTTCCAGGTACGGGATAGTCTCCCCTGGCTCCGAGTTGGGGGGTGTTCACATAGCTTCCTTCCTCACCGAGATTCTCGAAGTTGTCTTTGACTGGGCTTGAACCAAAAGAATCAGTCTTAAATGTTAAAAGCTTCCTGGACTTAGATAACTAAGTTGCAGAAAGTAGTCGATAAAAATAAGGGTCTTCTGAATTGTTTTGTTTCAGAAAGTTGCAGAGTGATTTAAAGTAGATTAGACTTCTGGAAAGGGTGAGACTTAGGGGAGAATGTGCTAGAAACAGTAACACTTTGAACTGCATTCTTGTCCTTACGGTTACTGTGTCTTTTATGTTGTGTGCCTAACCTAGGAGAAAATTGACTGCTGAGCAGTGTACATCTGAAGAAGAATGCTTTGTCAGATGAGATTGGAAGATTTAGAAGAAACTATAATTCCAAGGTTAAAAGTGAGTGCCTTCTGAGATGTTGGTCTCTGCAGATTGAGGCCACTTTCAGTTTCCAATCTTAGAGGCATACTTGATCTCTGAACTGAGCTGGTATCTACTTCACAGTGCTACTATGAAACTTAAATAAGATGTGTGGAAGTATTTTACACAATGCCTGTAACAGGCTTTGTTTTAAACTTCCTCTTGCTTCCTCATACCAACTATTTCCTCTGGGCCATGCATTACTGTATATTATTGTTTACCTTTTTATAAAAGTCCTACCTTTGCCATAAAACTATAAGCTTCTATCATCATTTGTTGTGAGTCCCTCCTAGCAGTACATTGTGCAGAGTAGTACCGGGGAGATTGGGTGGATGGCGGTGGTGATGAGAGGAAAGCTATGGGTCATCTGTAAGGAGAAAGCATTGTGCTGGATCCTGGAGCTGAAAGAAACAAGCTTTTCTCCTAACAGTGATAAACAGAATATTTGCCTCCTAGCCTTCTCTCAGAGCTCCCAGCCCTTTAAAAAGTATTGTTTTTATTTTCAGTATTTTCGACCATTTTAAACTGTACATTAATTGTATGTACATTTTTGTGCAACAGATCTTTAAAATTTTTTCATCCTGAAAAGTTGAAACTCTATACCCCTTAAACAGCTCCTCATTTCCCCTTCTCCCAGCCCCTGGCAACTACTATTCTACTTTCTGTTTCTATGAGTTTGGCTATTCTAGATACTTCATATAAGTGAAATCATGCAATTTTTGGCTTTTTGTGACTTGGCTTATTTCACTTAGCATAATGTCCTCAAGGTTCATCCATGTTGTAGTGTATGAAAAGATTTCCTTTTTCTTTTGAAGGCTGATCTATCTATCTATCTATATGTGTGTGTGTGTGGTGTAGATAGATAGATAGATAGATATTTCCTTATATGTTATCCATCGATGGACATTTAGGTTGCTTCCACCTCTTGGCTATTGTGAATAATGATGCAATGAACATGGATGTGAAATTATCTTTTTGAGATCCTATCTTCAGTTCTCTTGGATTATATTTTTTAGTATTATTTTTAAACTTGTTGACTATGGAGAAGTTCAAATATACACACAAGTAGAGAAAATCTTATAATGAATATGTGGGCTGGATAAATGAATCAGCTGTACAAAGCATCTCCCTCCTTTTGCTGAACCCCTGCCTTTCATTGAGAGTCTGCTCCAGGTGATTATGTTTTGTTTTGTTCAGACCTGCGATGTTCTAGGTACATTTCATCATCTAGGCCCGCCATCAGTGTGACTTGAGTGCCTATCTGCAGATCATTTTATTGTAGATTCCAGGAGTACTGGTAGATGTAAACTAGTAGAAAAGAGTGTAGTTGACTTTTCCTAGTTATAGAGATGAGGAGCTAAACTTAGGGTGCAAAGTGGTCTTTGTGCCCGAGAGTTTTGCTCTGGTTCAGTAGCGCCGCCCCCTCCTCCCCCCCATCAGATACACTATTGTCCTTAAAGCAGTCACTCTGAATGGTACCTAGAGGAGGCTGGGAAGATGAGTCATACAGGCAGTAATTGCTATCAGAGGAAAAAGAAATTAATCCAAACTGGGAAAGCCAAGGAAGGTTATTTTCAAGGAATGCGATGGTGACTTTGCCCTATTACCATTGTTGTTGTTCAGTTGCTAAGTGTCCAACTCTTCATGACCCCATGGACTGCAGCACGCCAGGCTTCCCTGTCCTTCACTGTCTCCTAGAGTTTGCTCAAATTCATGTCCATTGAGTCAGTGATGCTATCCAACCATCTCATCTTTTGTTGTCCCCTTTTTTGCCTTCAGTCTTTCCCAGCATCAAGGCCTTTTCTAATGAGTTTGCTCTTCACATCAGGTGGCCAAATTATTTCCATTGACTTTGTATGTTTGATCCTCATGTCTATTCCTCGATGGAAAAAGACAGAGCCGATGATCAGTGAATACTCTGGGATGGTTGCCTACTAGGCTCTGGACTGTTAGCTGTGGGACCTATGCCAAGAAAAGGAAGACTTCTAGGGGGAATGCCTCACTGGTCAGAATTGGCTGTATGAGCGAGCAGAAAGCCATTCCTAGTGGGCCTGTGCAAAGCATACTGAGAGGGCTACCTTTTCTTTAAAGGAAAGTGAAGTCGCTCAGTCGTGTCCGACTCTTTGCGACCCCATGAACTGTAGCCTACCAGGCTCCTCCGTCCATGGGATTTTCCAGGCAAGAGTACTGGAGTGGGTTGCTATTTCCTTCTGCAGGGGATCTTCCCGACTCAAGGATCGAACCCGGGTCTCCTGCATTGCAGGCAGATGCTTTACCTTCTAAACCATCAGGGAATCTAACTTTTCTTTACCTTGACCCAAAATGAAGTGTTTGGTTTGGTTTGGTTTTTGGCTATGATATGGGCCTAAAAAGACAACAGGATGGAGGATATATCTATTCCTCTAAGTTCCCAAGGTGAGAAACTGATTCTCAACTTTTTTTTCTGTAATCAAATACATATGATAATGTATCCCCTTTCCTCCATGTTCTGATACTTGAAGTTAATGCTATGAGGATCAGGTCTGAAATTAGGGCAGTAGTTAAGAAGCTAAAGAAAATGGAGTGCTGTGGGGGCACTGAAACAGTAGGACATTGACTGGATATTAATATGGGGGTATAAACATGGATGTGTGCATGCTAAGTCGCTTCAGTCATGTCTGACTCTTTGCAACCCTACGGACTGTTGCCCGCCAGCTTCTTCTGTCCATGAGATTTTCTAGGCAAGAACACTGGAGGGCTTGTTATGCCCTCCTCCAGGGTATATTCCCAACCCAGGGGTCGACTCACATTTCCTGTGTCTCCTGCATTGGCAGGCGGGTTCATTAACGCTAGTACTACCTGGGAACATGGGAGCTCATAGTAAACATGTTCCTTGGAGATCATCTGTGTTTCATCATTAACTCGCAAATACTCGATTCATGAAGAAATGGACAAGAATATAGTGGTGTTATGAACTGTAGTTTTACTCAGATAAGGACAGAAGGAATGAGACAGAAGGGTTTGTCTAGCATTGTAATCACATTATATAACTTTTGCCTTCCCCAGCAGAGTAGTAATTTTTGTGAAGTCATAGTAGCTTCTAACACTTTAATGAGTACTTCCTATGTGGCAGGCACTAATGAGTACAGCACATGCATTCTTTCATTTAAGCTTCAGGTTAAAAACTTGCCCAAGTTCACAGAGCTTAGGAAGAGAGAGGACTGGTTTTTGACTCCAGGCGATCTGACTTCAGAGTCAGCACTCTTAGCCACTTCTCGGTATGGCTGAGTCTGACTGGCCTACTTTTCTCTCCAGTATTTTGACGCCACTATGGTTTTTGCAGTAGTCATGTACAGATGTGAGAGTTGGACCACAAAGAAGGCTGAGCGCTAAAGAATTAGTGCTTTTGAATTGTGGTGCTGGAGAAGACTCTTGAGAGTCCCTTTGACGGTAAAGAGATCAAACCTGTCAGTCCTAAAGGAAATCAACCCTGAATTTTCATTGGAAGGACCGATGCTGAAGCTCCAATACTTTGACCACCTTATGCGAAGAGCTGACTCACTGGAAAAGACCCTGATGCTGGGAAAGATTGAAGGTGGGAGGAGACAGGGGTAACAGAGGATGAGATGGTTAGATATCATTGATGGACATGAGTTTGAGCAAGCTCCTGGAGATAGTGAAGGATAGGGAAGCCTGGCGAGCTGCAGTCCATGGGGTCGCAAAGAGTCAGACATGCTGAGCGACAACAATAACAAACAACAGTTTTTCAGGAACAGAGTGTATCTTTGCTGAGTCTAGTCACAGATCCGAAGTGAGAGCTGTCTTTCCTTTTGTTTCAACCTTGGGAATCTTCTTTCTGCGCCAATTTTAAAAAATTAGTTAACATTTATTTAGTACCTATAATAGTAGCTTTGATACAGTATATGTGAGAACTTATGACAATACGGAAACCTTTGTATATAATAGTTTTTAATCTTGTGGGGCTCACAGTCCTCTTTGAGTCTGATGACAGCTTTGGATCTTCTTTCCAGAAAAATTTACCTATGCACATACACATAATATTGTGCACAACTGCAGAGGTGGCTTCTAGAATCCTCTGAAGCCTATCTTCTAGCAGGCCAAGGACTCCATGGTAAGAACTCTTGCCCCATACAACCTTTCCCAGCTTCTATGGTGTTAGGAGGCCAGGTAGTGGGGGTGGAGGGGGGAAGGTCTTATCTCCTTTCTTTCTTCTCAGAGAGAAATATTTATATAGCTTAGGCTCCCTAGGTTAACCAAATTCTATGAACATTCTTTCCTTCTCTCTTATACATAGGACTCCAAGGGAAGAATGCAGACGATCAAATGTGTGGTTGTGGGAGATGGGGCTATAGGTAAAACCTGCCTCCTCATCAGTTATACAACAAATGCCTTTCCTGAGGAGTATGTCCCCACTGTCTTTGACAACTATAGTGCCCAGACATATGTGGATGGCCAGATCGTCATCCTGAACCTGTGGGACACAGCTGGCCAAGAAGAGCATGACCGACTGCGAACACTCTCCTACCCCCAGACCAATATCTTCGTCATTTGCTTTTCCATTGGCAGCCCATCTTCTTATGCCAAGGTGAGGCATAAATGGCACCCCGAGGTCTCCCATCATTGCCCCAACGTACCTGTTTTGCTGGTAGGCACGAAGAGGGACCTGCGGAGTGACCTTGAGACAGTGAAGAATCGAAAGGAACAGAGCCTAGTGCCCACAACTCCTCAGCAAGGCACTTCCCTGGCTAAGCAGGTGGGGGCTGTAAAGTATCTGGAATGTTCAGCCCTGATGCAAGATGGGGTCCGTGAGGTATTTTTGGAAGCTATCTGGGCTGTGCTTTACCCTGCCACAAAGAAGAACACCAAGAAGTGTGTCCTCTTATAGCTTTTGGGATGTTGCCTGGGGACTGCACCCACAGAGAAAAAGGGGAAATTCCCTTGATAGCATTTAACATTGCCAGTGTGAGCCACTTATCTCTTCTCCTGGAAACCCTAGGCTCCAGGTTATTTGGTGTTTGGGGGAATGAAGAGAGGCTAGTTTGTACTTGGCTGCTTTGAAATTCAGTCTGAAACTTTTAGAGAAAGTTTGAGAGTGAGAGAGTGTGTCTCTGCTGTTGAAGTGATGAGAGGAGATGTCACCAGATGTTCTTTTTGGCACTGGCCAGGCCACAACTAAGCAGATCAGTCTAGTACTATTCTTTGTAGGCTTTTGCCTGACTGTTTGAAATCTAATTTCAGCTTTCCTGGATGTGTTTATCATTGAGCTAGTACCTCACAGATGGACAGGGTTCTCCAAGTTTTCAAATCATTGCCTGAGGCTTTCTGATAAACTAATTTCTGGAAACTATTTTAGGTGTGATTCCTGGGTGTTCCCAGTGTTGACATGTTCTTTCCATTCTTGAGATGAGATGCTTTTGCAATAATGGTTAAGCAGCATTTCTAGAATTCTGTGAGATTGTAACAGATGTTTCTTAAAAGGGTTCTATGGGCCTCTGGCCTTTTGAGATGGCTCACGCTCCATCTGTGGAGTGTGTTTCTCTCTTAATAAATGTGCTTCTTACCTAAAACAGAAAGCGGTTCTGTGGTCAAATAAGGCAAGAATCATTGATTTAAATAATGCCAAATAGTTTGTTTTACTGCAGGAAGTTTTATAACTTTTAATAAGTATGCAATATTTCCCAAACTTATTTCACTGAACTTTTGTTTTTTTGGCCCCATGCAGCACCTATTAACATCTCTGGGAACACCGTTTCAGAGATGCTGGGTTACTGGGGACTGGGTATTCCAATGGTGGAGACTTAAAAAAGCATAATGTGGTCCTATTCTTTGTGATGTTTTCTTCTCTGTGCCTTTGAGAGGAATGTTTACCAGCCATGGCCTTGTTATTGATTCCTCTTCCAATCCTCAGGAGGTGGGTTTGGCACTTAGTCATAACAGTACATTGGCTGTGGGATCTGATGTTAAGATTTGCTTTCTGATTCTGCTAGCACTCTGGGCCCTGTGAAGTGAAAAACTGTGTCTCTGAGGCTTCTGTGTGGCCCTTTCTTCTCACATCACCCTTCCACTGTAAGGAAAGACCACTGAAGATTAACCCTCTAAATAAAACCAATGAAACAATCAAACAAGTAAGATGTCCTGCCAGTCCCTCTCAAGGGGTTCTGTGATTCTCTCTGAGACGTCTCTTCTGCTGTCATTCCTCTGAGTCATAAAGTCATTCCTCTGAGTTATAAAGGCTATTCTGCTCTCTTCCTGTTCCTCCCTCCTCTGTATGTCTCCCTGTTTGTGTGTGTTCAGCCCTGTGTGCCTTTTGAGTTTGCTCTAAGTGTTGGAGTTTGTTGGGTTTCCAGGCCGAAGGGGCTGTCCTCACCCTTGTGGCAGTTTTGTTGACTTTCCTCAGTCTGCTCTGGGGTGAGATGAGTTGACTTCTGTATCCCCGTGGACCTGCCGCTCCTTCCCCCAGCTGTATTTTTGACCTTCATTTGATATGGAAGGAAAACTTCTTTACCTGGCAGATAGTGGTCAGGAACTCCACCATGCACATGTCCTCTCACCCTGCCAGAATAGCATGGGATTTTTGAGAGTTTGGGAAATGGAGCTAAAAGGATCTCATACCTCCCCTTGGGGTGGGTGAAGTGCCTGTGCTTTGCTCTGTGATTGTCTTGCTGTTGCTCTTTGACAGGATATGATCAGAGTAACCTCAAGCTGACTGAACCTCCTGGATAGGGTTGCCAGATAAAATAATTTTTTAACCAATTTTTTAGTGTAAGTGTGTACCGTGCAATATCTGGGACATACTTAACACTAAAAAATTATTTTGTTTATCTGAGATTCAAAGTTAATGGGGCATCCTGTATTTTTATTTGCTAAATCTGTTAACCCTACTCTTTGAGAATCTGGAACCTGGAGGTCAAGCAAATATCAAGTATTGGTAGAAGATAAAAGGTTATTTAAATACTCTATTCTTCCTCCTTTTCTTCTGGTTTCCCTTTCCCCTCACAGTGGACTAAAGTGCTTTTTCTTTTTCCTTCATCACTGTACCCGCCACTTCACGCAGTATTCCATTGGTGTGTATGTCTACAATGTTAATTGTCTGAAGCTGTGGAGGATCCAGGACGAATACTGTTGTCCAGCACTTCCCTTCTCAGTTCCGATGTACTATATCTATTTTCCAGTGTGCAACTCAGGGTCTCCTGAGGCTGGCAGGGATTCTGTATGAGCAGTGTGTTAACTGGAAAAGGGTGAGCGTGGCCCTCTTCAACCAAGGCTCAATAGCACTTTGGAAAGGGGGGCTATTACCATAATGTGGCCACTGTGGAGGTCAACTGGCTTCTGGGTGCTGTGCCCACTGCCCTTTTGTAAAGTCACTGGGTTTTTCCAAAGACAGTCAAATGGAAGTGTATTCCAGTCTCATGATGTTCTGATTGATGCCACTTTGGGTGCTCACAGGACTTCATGGTTGAAAGGGGCTAGAAACATGGCTGTCACCTAGGTCTCTGGGAAATTTCTATTTAGCTACTGAAATCTTTTAAGTTGGCTTTTAATAGCGCCTCCTGCTCCTCCTTTGCCTGTCAAATTCCCAAATGTAAGCCTGGGTTTGGTTTGGGCAAACTTGTGTTCTCTAATAAATGGAGGTGTGATCCACAAGTCTGAGTGAGTGGTTTTGTATTGCTCTGATTTAATAGTCTTTTTTTTAAAGTCTTTATATAATTTGTTACAACACTGTTTCTGTTTTTTTTATTTATTTTTTGACTGCCAAGCATATGGGATCTTAGCTCTCTGGCCAGGGATGGAACCTGCAGCCCCATGCATTGGAAGACGAAGTCTTAACCACTGTGCCAACAAGGAAGTCTCTGATTTAATAGTCTTAAGTATACACTGACATCTTGGTTTTTATATTTAATTTATATGAAGACTAACATGCTAATATCACTTTTTAATTTTTCATAAGGAATGCTAATAAACTTTTTTCTGATTTTACTGGGTCTGTTGCTTTCTAAAAATCCAAGCAATTCCTCACCACCACCCCTTTGTCTTGTGTATGTGTTAATTGTTATCTTGTCCAACTCTGCAACCTCAGGGACTGTAGCCCACCAGGCTCCTCTGTCCATGGAATTCTCCAGGCAAGAATACTGGAATGGGTTGCCATGCCCTTCTCCAGGGTATCTTCCCAACCCAGGGATCAAACCCAGGTCTCCTGCTGTGGCAGGCAGATTCTTTACCATCTGAGCCACCAGGGAAAGTGAGTGGTTTTTAAATGCTTTTCAGCTTGCAAAGGATGAAATAACTATAATTGTCATATTACACATGGCACCTATTTGTAACTGTACTTATTTTTCTACATCACATAATCAGCGTAAGGAATTCTCTGTCCTGCTAACACTGATTCTCTAGTTCCTGCCCACCCCTCGCCTATTCATCTCCAGGATTTAGCTTCATATCCTGGTTTTCAATAGTGATGGACCAGTTAGTTCCCTGTTGGTGATTTTTCTCACTTATTACACTATATTCAGTAAAAATTATCAAGCTCCTATTATGTTACAGGCTTGACTGTGCTAGGGGCTAGGAAAGATTTTATATTTAATATCTTTTGCCTCTTCCATTTATCTCAGGAAAATCTCCTCCTGTTTATTTTAAAAATGAACTAAGAATTCCCTGGTGGTCCAGTGGTTAAGACTGTGCTTTCACTACTAAGGGCACAGGTTCGACCCTTCCTCCTCCCTGCAAAAGACCTAATCTTGGCTGGCAACTGTAAATAATGCTGGTATACTAGTAAGTGCACAAGGAAGAGCAAAACCATGTTTTTTGTTTTTAAAAACCACTTTATTGAGGTATAATTTACATCCTATACAATTCACCCATTTTAAATGTACAATGTAACAATTTTGAGTAAATTTACTGAGTCATGCAACCATTACCAAAATTCAGTTTGACAACATTTCCATCACTGCAAAGAGATCCCTCATGTGGTTAATCCCCTGTTCCCATCCCCAGTCCTTCATAAAAATGGAATCAAATATGTGGCCATTTGGAACTCTTCTTTCATTTAGCAAAATGTTCTCAAGGTTCATTCATTTTGTAGCAAATATGGGTAGTCATTTCTTCTTATTACTGAATAATATTCTACTGTATGGGGTACACCATATTTTATCTACTCATAGTTGAGGGACATTTGGATTGTTTCTACCCTTTGGCTGTTACAAATAATGCTGCTGTGAACCTTCATATAGGTTTTGTGTGTCCACTGTCTCAGGTATATACCTGGGAGTGGAATTGCTGGGTCATATAGTAAATTAATGCAAAACCACATTTTGAGTCAAGAATGGCATCTTTAATATTTATAGTAAGTGAAATCCCCTTCCACATTCTACCAGTCTCTACCTCATTGAACCTGCTTTTCCTTAAGCACAAGATTCAAGGGACTATATAAGATACATTAAAAAGCATTCCACTTTGCTTTTTTTGTCTTATTAGTTAGGCAATAGTATTCTATCAACTTTTCATTACCAAAATGCATTTCAGCTACATGCAGGTTTTGGCAGACTTGTCATCTGGTCTAGAAATGTAACTACTATTAAAATATTCCAGTCTCCTCCTGGGTTTGTTTTCTGTTTTCCTCTCTTGTTCTGACCCAGACCAACATTTGTCTCTGAGAAAGAAAAATTCCACAGAATATTCATACAATGAAGTAATAAGTAGACATAAAAAAACCAAAGAGGAGTGCTATTGAGTGGCACAGTGTGGTTTCCAGACTATATTCGTAAGTGAAAAAAAAAGCAAGGTGAAAAGAATATATATAGTATGCTATCTCTTGTGTTTAACGACAACAAAAAAAGAATAGATATACTCATTTGCATATATTTGCAGAAAGAAACACAGGAAGTATAAGTAGTGAATTATGCTGTATACCTGAAACTAATGTGTTAGTGTCGATTATACTTCAACTGAAAAAAAAAAAACACAGGAAGGATAAACAAGAAATTAATGAAAATGGGTACTTACAGGGAGTGGATGGCAATGGGGCACAGGGCATGGGAGCAAGACTTGTCTGGAAATAGCTTTTCTTTTTTTTGGAAATAGCTTTTTATATAGTTTTGACTTTGAGCCACATGAAAGTTTACATATTTTAAAAATAATGTATCATTTTTACTAAAAAGGATGATAAAAGCAAATCCTAAACTTGAATATAAATGGAAAAAAACTCCACAGAGGAAAAAAAGGATTCATGTAATTTTAAAAAATTTCTTTCTTATTTCTGGCCAGGATGCAAGGCATGTGGGATCTTAGTTCCCCGACCAGGGATTGCACCTGCGCCCCTTGCAGTGGAAGCATGGAGTCTTAACCACTGGACTGCTAGGGAAGTCCCTGATTCACGTAATTTTTTTTTTATTCACGTAATTTTTAAACAGTACACTGTATATCCTTAATAGGATATAGTCTAAGGACAGAAGACTGCAAAGAACTTCAGAACTTTACTTAGGTTAATTGTTGGTAGTGGTGTTGGTCTTTTTGTTTTTGTTTTTTTTGGTATTGGTCTTATAATTCTGAAGAGTATATATATATATATATTGGTGTTGGGGACCAGAGTTTTCATTGTAAGAGAAGCAAGATACAAATATGAAATGGGGGAAGACGAGGGGGGACCCTATGGTGTTAGATTTGAATTGAAGGCATTATTATAAAGTCATTCTTTTTTTTAAGCTCTCTCCACTGAAAGGGCCTAAAAGTGATGATGATCCAGTTTCTAAACACCATTCCCCACTAAAAGGAACCAGGGCTCCTTGGACAAATAACATATACCAGGTCCGGGACAGGGAAGGCAGAGTGAACCTGGAACATCTTGTGTCAAAAAGCAAGGAAGTGCTCAAAGACTAATGGAGTCATGTCAAAAGGACACAGGAGCCAGAGTGACAAATTTGGAACAGTTTGAGGATCAAAAAGGAAAATGATGGTGTTAGACTGTAACACATTAAAATAAAAATGCAAGAAAGGAGGTAAGAAAAGGGAAAGTAGTTCTTTACTGAGTAAGTCCAATTAATAAAGGTAGGAGGAATTAATAAATGTAGAAGGAAAAATCACCCTTTGGCACTCACACTCTCTGTTGAGTCCTGTCCCAGGCCACAGGTGTGAGGCCACCAAGGCCTTGGCAGAGCCCAGAACCAAGGTCACCTCCAAAGCTGACTGAACCTCTTTGTAACCTTGCCAAGAGCCCCCTGATCATCACTAACAAGCTTCTTTACTCCCACTTAAGCAAAGATGCCCACTCCAGTAAATACTCTATAGTGTCCCAATCAATCACCTAACGTCAACCTTCTAGCAGGAATTTTGTCTTGAGGCTATCTGTACAAATTGGCTATTAACCTATGAAAAAACCATCAACTCTCCCTGGTCTGTCAGGAGGTCTGCCTGCTTCACTTGCAGTGCCCACTTTATCTCTGTTCTTTGTTCTTAATTAATTCACTCCCTTCTGAAATGCTCTGTGTCTGGAAATTCTTTTCCAACCCGTGCTTGGAGTGTCTCAACATTTGGTGGCCTGTACAGGGGCTACTCTCCCCGTGAGAGAGCCCCCACTCTCCTTTCCTCTTTCCTTTTTCCTTGGGCCCTCTGCCAACAGGCAAGTGACTGTGGAAGCAATTAAGGAACTCTGCCAGAGTTACTCTGGTGTGTTCCAAAGGCTCCACTGCCCACAGTACCCCAGTAGCTACCACCCAAACGGGCGAGGGCTCTCTTTTCCTTTTTCCTCCTTCTCCCTTGAGCTGAGGACCAGGCCAATAAAACTGTGCAGGCACAGGTCAGGCACTTAAAAGCCACTAGAAAAGACTCCCATGGCAGGATAAGGGGGTCACGGAACAGACCAGGCTATCAGAGCACTGCCCTCAGCAAGACAACTTCTGTGCATCATGTCAGGCACATATTGGTTCAAGCAAAACACTGAGCTCATTCCCCAGGCCACCGCCGTCCTGGCAGGACTACAAGGTGGATTCCTCAGCCTGTCTTCCTTCTGTCACTTTCACTTTTCCTCTCTCTGTCCGGATTAATTTACAGGAACTTAGGAGCAACCTCTGAATCATCCTAGAGAGTGCCTTCCATGTTTCAGGGAATTGCTAAAAGGTTAAGTCACTGTTGGTTCTGGGAAACTCTTTTCTGTCCTTTCTGGCCCTAGTCACCATGTGCATTTTCACATTGTTTGTGCCTAGGCTTGTTCCTAGCCACAGGGTTTTGTGCCACTCCATGTCACATGTTCAGGGGTCACCTCTCACTACTGGCAACTGTTGGGACAGTTGGCCATTAGCCGCATGGTACCTTCTTGCACGCAGAGGGTTCATTGGGACATGTGGGACTCTTTCTGTGGCCAGTGAACTCTTGGTACCCCTATTCCAAGAATGGGCTCAGGTATGTCTCAAGAACCACCTTCAGACTCACCTCTGGGTTGTATTCTCAGGACCTGGAAAAAATTTGACCCTGAAAATCCTAAAAAAGAAAAGGCTCACATTCTTTTGCAACAAAACTTGGAGCCAGTACAAATTGGGGAAGCAAGAAAAATGGCCTCTGAATGGCATGCTTAAATTAGAACATAATTCTCCACCTTGACCTCTTTTGCTGTTCCTTATGCTCAAACCTTTATGGCACTCAGTCAGAATCTGGAC